ATAGGGACCCGGCTGCCAAATCACACTGGTAACACACACCGTTTCTCATTTTTGTCTGTTCTGCTTAAATTTTCTAAGCTCTAATTTTAGCATAGTTACATGTCTGACATGTTTCTGTAATACTGTCCTGGTATTTGCATGGTTTAACTTTACTAAACAAAACATGTTCTCATTAAAAAAAAAGAGGAATGATCCATTAGAATTACATACTAAAGCTGCAATGAATGACTTTTAATCCATGAATATGTTCAATGAATATTTTTGCACTTCTAGTGATTAATCTATAATGACACTGAACATGATGACAAATGTCCATTTACAAGTCAACAATTGACTTCAAGTAATCAAGAATAACACATTTTCTAAAACATAAAAACACATATTTGATGCTGTAACCAGTAAATGTTTGTTCTTTTTATTTGATATATCATTTATTAAAACTTCATTAAGTAACTGACCAAGCGTTTCAACACTAACACACACCCACTGAAGCTATCACAAAGGCTCTACCAAAACAGTCCCCTGTAGTATTTTATCTCTGTAAATCTTGGTCAATACAACAGCACTGGATCCTTGTTTGATTGTTTGTTGAGATAACATCAAAGCAACCGGTAGCAACCAGTGACTAAGGGAGGTAGCACAAATGTTAACTACCTTTTATTATTACCTGCACAGCCAACAGCAGCATGTGAGAAGAAAGTTAGACAAGGACAATATTTTTTTAAATCTAGTCAAATTACTTAAAGTTTGCCCTTAAACAGGACTTTCTACAATTAAAAAACGTCCTGGGGAGGGTGGTGGATGAGGGGCAGCTCGGAGTGGCGAGGCTAGGCTCAGCAGAAACGTCACAAGACTGCCTCCCTCCTGGAGCGTGACAGCCCGGCGGACAGAGAGCATTCTTTCCACTCTAAGGAGAAGGGAGAGAGGGCAAACTCATTGCCCTTACTAACTAGCTGGGCCTATACCAGCTCAGACCCCGGGCCTAGTGAAAGAAGACCACTAGAACACTACTGGCGCATCTCACCGAAGTACAAGGGTCAGAGGAAGGAAATGGGTTACCTGAGAAGGTTTCTGGCTGGATTACAAGATCCTTGTTGTTGCTCTTTGGCCAGAAATGACTATCTGCTGTTAATATGTTCTAAGATATGCAAACAGGCAGCTTGACAAAAGTCACTGAAGTGTTTCAGGTAGGTATTGGCTCCGCAAGCCAAAGAACCGGTCTCGGTATACAATCCACACTTATTTCTGGCTAATTAAGCAGGAACACCATGTAAGAAACATTTGTAACAGCAATAGCAGTGGTGAGACAGAAGATCAGGGTTGCTGAAGCGTCCTTGAGCCAGACAATGACTCCCTACCAGCTCTGGGGATGCATTTGTGCTGCTGATCAGAGATTCTGCACAACTTACAAAAAAAATACACCGTTGAAAAAGGTCCAGTGTGTAAGATTTAGGAGAATCTATTGGCAGAAATGGAATAAAATATGCATAACTATGTTTTCATTGGTGTGTAACCACCTTAAAATAAGGATGGTTGTGTTTTTGTCACCTTACAATAAGCCATTTTATCTACAGACACCACAGGTCGCCTTCCATAGGGGGCACCATGTTGAACCGCCATGTTCCTACAGTATTTCTAAAGAGATTTTGAGCTAAAGTTTCCGTTGGAACTTCAAGTCAAAGTGTAGTTGATTAATTGACGTAATTGACGAGGAAGTGTCAGTCGAAGTGAAAATTAGTGCCAGTTCAAGAAAAATTATGTAAAGTGTTGAAGCCTGAAGTGGAAGCACTGAAAGCAGTTGGAGTGTGTGAACAGCGGAAATGCTGTTAGAGCTGAAAGTGTCAGTCAAAATATAAGCACTGAATGAAGTGGAAGTGTCAATTTAAGCGTAATCGCTGCTTTTCTGCTGCTGAAAAGAGCAGCCGATTCAGTCCAGCTCTGAAAGGAGTTTAACTGTCAGTCAGAGAGCATTTGAAGCTCTTGAGAAACACTCCTGTCACTGTCCCAACAGAACCAATTACCGGCTTTTCTCACACTCATCGAAATCCAATTTGACTTTTGCCTAGGCAACCACTGAGGCCTTCCTCTGGCTATTGCTGCTCCCTTGGCCTATTTACTTCCTTTCCTTGGTCACCTGACAGAGCCTTTGGACGACCAGCGGTGGTGTCAAAGTGCAAGTTCAATGTACACAAAAGCCACAGTGCAGCCATGACCTACTTTATACCTGCTGCCTGTAGCAGTTGGTAGGAGGCAACACACACTCCACTCCCCTTTTCCAGCCGCTGTCAGGCCAAGGTCAAGAAAGAAATTTTTCTGCTGTGTTTCCACGTGTCAGCGGCTCAGTACTGATGCAATTCTGCAAGAGCAATTTCCACAATTCCCTCCCTCAGCAAGACTTGATTTCTCTGTCACGATCCGACACTCCTGCTGCTGTCTCGGGTGGTAAAAACACCTAAATGAAAACATGAATGCCATCTATACGGTACAATGCAAGAGGAAGTGCTATCCTCGGTTCTGCTGGGACTTGTGCCACGGCTGTCATAACAGGAACATCACATGCGTGCCATGAATCACCAAAACGGTGATGGGAAGCTGGAGCGGTTAGTACTCGGCTGCCCTTAAGGGTTAGACTTGCTGCTGGCTGGCAAACAGACAAGTTGCTGAGGCATAGATATGTGAGCACCTTGGCATCGCATTCAATGGCATTTGTGCTCACTCCACACACAAAAACCAACAGAGTCATCCTGCACAACTCTACCTGCTCGGTTTAGGTTCACACCAATGCAGACATGGCCCACTGACAGAGAAAGTGGATAAAAGAAAAGCCACATGCACAAAAGGAAGTCAGGTTAACAGTTCCTTATCTTGGGGAGAGCACTGAAAGCCCCCCCCCCCTTTGCTTAAGTCTTCTCTTTTCTACATGTCTCTTTTGATTTTAAGATGAAAACTCTGTGAGTGAGTGTGTCTGAGGGGAGACACCTGCAAGGTTAAGCAGGCTCCAGGAGAGCAGAGTCTGATTATCTGGCGTCTAGGAGGGCCGGGGAGGACAGATGAGGAGGGGGGGGGGGTGTTATATTCCCAACTGTTGCATCCGACCCATAACTAGGTCAACTTTCGTGCAGGAAATACACATCACCGCCGGGTAAAACAAAAGACATTTCCCCCTGTTATCAGCCGGTAGTGATACGTGGCTGCCTCTCTTTCCGCGGTTGGATAACTAACGATGGATGGAAAGTGTAGACACACCGCAGCAACGTAAGACCAGGAAAACGTCTTTCCAGCGGGTGACCTTACTTACACTAAAGTCAGCTTAAAACTGTTTCACTACTATTTCTAATTCCCGCGACAAACTCTAAACTAAGCCTCGGCTACTTTCATATTCAAAAAAATATAGAGCACTTACCAGCTGTTTACACTGCAGCGAGGGACAATGTTGACATGTAGGCAACTTGCTGCTTTTACCCGCTTGATATATTCCGTATTTCTATTTGTGCAAACCGAAACGGGTCAAACCAGGACGGCGCTTAAAAGAAAAAAAAGCCACTTCGAAATAGTCCTTTGAAACTTTGCAGGCCACTTCTTCGCCACACTTTCATCTGAAGTTGACGGCGGAGGCAGGCGCCATGTTTGTGTCTGAGCTGATAGTTTTGTTGGTGAGCTTTCTAAACGTCTCTTTTCAGACTGGAACCGCCCAGAGAAGAGAGGCTACAGTTCCTGCTGTAACTGACGGAGGCTGGCCTCGGGGGGCGCTATCAAAGCTAGCCCACAGAAAACTCGCCTTTTCCGGCGCGTCTTTTCAAAGTAAAACGCTGGAATGGCGAACAAACGCAGTTGGAGTTTTCAGAATAAAGTCATTTATTTAATTCAAATTAAAAGGTTAAATGTTAAATAGATTGTTAGTAGTAGTAGTAGTATTAGATAGATGAAGAATAAGTAGTATAATGATGATGATGATGATGAATCATATTAACATTTAACATTAAGGAGTGTATAATCACCTGGAAACAAGAATTGGGGTTTTTCTTACCTAAGCTTGAGCTCTGCTACTTTTTAATATATTACAGTACTTGTAATCATTATACATAGCTACAGTATTTGTGCTGATATGACATTACTTCAGTATTATTCTTTTGTTGCACTACTGCTCATTACTTCTGTACATATATGCACAATATACAAATATATAAACTATTTTAGCGTACATAGAGCTTCTAAATGCCATTTCTTTCGTACTTATCTTGCTCTATTTGTTTGTAAAAAAAAAAAAAAAAAAAAAAGATAATTTTTACTGTTGCTGAATTTCTACTCTGGTTATAATCATATTTCGGTCTTCTGTTTCTACAATGCAAGTCTCACTCACCTGTCAGAGGCTAAACACCTGATGTGAGGACACAGGATGGTGTGCAGGGTGAAGCAGGTACACGTCTGATACGCAGCTAATTTAGTGCCCAGTATTCCTTAATAGTTGTATCCACCTATACTACATTTCTCCCAGTTTATTTTGGCAGACACGATATTCTAGACAGGAAATGAATGAAAATAAGTTTTTATAAATGTCTTTAATGCTACAACATATTTAACTTACAGTAAAATTACTTTGCCCCATGGCAAATTGTTTTATTGTTTAGGTGAAATCTGTCGACTTCCTGCCTCCTCTGAGCTTTTACTGCTGCCTTGACTCACTTCTTTTCTTTTGCTCCATGGCGTTGTTCAGTTTCTGACGCCCCCCATCTTAAACTCGGAGAAGTTCCCCCGATATAAAAAAAAAAAAAAACGCAACAGGTGCTTGAGAAAGCCATATTTTCATATTTTGGCTGTTCTTAGAAGACACTTACAGCCCCATTCTTTGCATTTTTGATTGTTTTTATGGGAACAGTGGCTTGCATCTGAAATTCAATGCAAATATTAAAGTAGATGTTTGTTGGATGTAGATGTAGATACATGCCATGTCATGTGACTTGCAGCTCTAGCTTTGTTTGCAGTTAATAACAGATTAAAGATTATGTGCATTACATTTTTATTTCCAAATGTTTCAAACATTTGAGAAATTCTGCTACTTTCATCAACCTGTTTCATTTGTGGTCATCTACCTACAAAGACATTTAGCATCCTGTTAAGACATTGTGAGGTTAGAAACCATGCCAATAGTGCAACGTGAGTACAATATGAATACAGTGGACTCCCGACAGCTTCAGGAGTTCAATGTTACTCTCCTACACAGGCATAACACTGACATTAGAAATCTAGTTATTTACACAAGTAAAAAAAAAAAAAAAAAAAAATTAACCACACTTTACAATTTTATTAAACCAATTCATGTCTTATTTTAAATTAAAACCAATAAACTTATGCACAGACAATTTAGAGTGACAGAAGCAGGTTATTTCAAAGCCATGTAAAAATGTTACATTTATTTTAAATTCAAAATCAGACAGTTGATGACATTGGGGGCTGAAAAGTGGTTTCTGTATGAATGTAGTTAACACTTCATGTCATCTATTGGGGAGAATGTGATGAGTTTTGGGAGGCTGTACTCTTGCTTCTTTGGAGGTGAAGAGGTCTCCAAAGTGTCTAGGTCCAGTGAGAAGACCTTGTCTGAGGCGTCCACTGCCTTTGCAGGCTGCTTTAGCCAGTCTCGGTCCAAACCAGAAACCGCATGATCCGACAGAAGACACTTGGGTGTCCTATTCCTGCTTCCCATAAAAGAGCCGTCGTTGCACGCCTGCTGGATCTGACCCAGGTAGTGACGTGCGGTTATCAGCGGCGACTGCTTTGCGTCAGTCTTCAGAGAGGGGAGAAGGAGCTCGTCCTCATCCTCGCTCTTTATATCGTCGTCGAGGCTCAGCAGGCTGTCACAGCTGGGCATTTCAGGGAGAGTTTCGTGGTCAAGGCTGAAGTGGACCGCACTGCTGCCGGTGCCACTCGGGCTGTCCAGGGTCTCTGTGTTGAGGGTGTCCCACAGCAGACTGGATTTGAACAAGACCTCGTGCTGGCTGACAGGCAGGCTGCTGTGGCTCGTAACAGGAGGGGTGATACCACTGAAGACACTGAGGGAGGGAGCATCGGGGCTCAGCAACGTATCGTCATTAAACTTGGCTGACTGTGCGATTTTCTCAACTTTGTCTTCCTCAAGTGCCTTACGCCAGGAGCTCTTCACATCCATAACTTCAAGAAAAAAAAAAAAAAAAAACACAATTTTATCAACCATCATAGAAGCTATGCTTTTATGCAGCCACAGACATCCTTTAACTATTGCGCAATTGATTAGCTCACCCCTTCATGCTTTTCCCCTTGACGCATTGAACAGAATTCACCTAAATTTAAGGTCGACGGCAAATGCAACAGATCGTGACTTACTCAAGCTCTCAGGCGTACGAGGCAGCTGCTTTCTAGTAGAGAAGGGATCTCCATGAAGAGTGCCGAGAATGCCCTCCAGGTCTTTAACCCTGCCCTCTGTGGGAGTGGTTGTAGTCACAGCATCTGCAAACTAACAAAAAATGTGTAATTGCTAAACTGCTGTATAGCAGCCAGTCACACTTCCATTGGTTTGAAAGTTACTTATACCTGATCAGCAAGGTTATCACATTCCATGTCTAATATCCGAGTCTTGGTCCTCATGGGGGACACCTTCGGATGAACACGGGTAGTCTTCCTCACACTGGCCTAAAAACAAGCACAGATTGTTAAATACAGTGTATCAGAGGACCTGGTGCACACAGCAGTTTAATTTAAAACAAAGGTTAGCTGGAATATAATACTTGCCTGAGGTGGTGGTACTAATGGAGCCCTCAGAGGAGGAGATGGAGGCGTGTCAAAAAGCCAGTCTAGAGAGGTATTCGCTTGTGATGGTGCTTCAGTGGTGACAACAGGACTTTCAGTCCTCTTGGCTGTTGCAGGGCAAGGGCTGTTCCAAACACAAAAAGCTTGATTTATTATTCAAAACCACATTTGCTCTGAGTGACTCAATCTCTATGCACAGTAAAGTGCATCTTTGCAACACACAGTGAAAGCAACACAGCATCTTTATGTAGCTATTAACAGCCCTCTATGTGGCCTTGACTCAGTGCTAATCCCTGAGCCAAGTCAGCACATTGCCCTGGCACCTGTCTGCAATTCGATTGTTGAATAGATCAGTGCAGGATGAATGACAAAGTCATGCTCTTATTTTAGTAGCTTACAATGTAACATGAGTAAACCAGCAATTAAAATCCCCAGCTGCACAGCACCTCAGAGAGAGCAGCGTTATTTCTTGTGATGTGGCAAAAGAGTTAAACTGCATTTCAGCTCAATGATGCTATGCTTCTACATCACTTTGTATAATTAAAGTCCTACACAAATAAAGAGTGTCTGCTCCGTATCTGTCCGTGGCGATTTCTCTCAATTCGCCTCGGTCATCAGAGAGCATGGATGCTTTAGGGAGGGCTAGTGTCGGACAGAGCACTGCTCGGTTCTGCCCAGGTATCTGCCTCCCATCAGAAGCAAATGCATTAAAAAAAAAAAAAAAAAAAAATTGAAATGTCGCCATTAGATTACATTACCTCTTCTTCAGGTTAGAATAATGATGGGCACCTTCCTGTGATTTACTCTCTGAAGGCTTCTCCTCTGAAAATGTGTAAGCAGCATGATTAGAAACAACTGCAATGTTGTAACACTATGTATACTATGTATATCAGATTCTGCTCACCAAGAAGCGTTGCAGGGTACTGCGAGAAGACACTACTTCTGTAACTGGTGTCAGCCGCTGGTTCAAAGGACAATGGAGCCATTGGTGAGAGGAAGCCAAGAGCCTAAAAATAAAATAAAGTTCAATCTTAACTCAAGATATGCAACTACCGTGAAATGCCTTTTGAGTTGCCAAACATTGTGGCACTGCAATTGCCACCTGAATGGACTGTAGCCTAGGACTAATCAAGTTTAAAAAAAAACACAAGAATGACTCACAGGATCTTCATTCAGAAAAAAGACTAGGGGTGTGTCCTTCAGAGTATCCATCCACTTCCTGTCCCACTCAGTCTCCAACTCTCTGATGGCACTTCTGACCTCAGGAATTCCTTCCTTAGAAATCTTCTGTCTGGGGAGGGGGGAAAGAAAAGGTTAATACCCTGGTACTCAAGCTATACAACTTATTCTTAGATAATTCTTTAACTAGGATTACAAATGTAATCAGTCATTGCAGTGTTTAAGCCCCAAATAGTTAAAGGGTAATACAGATTCAGGTTTCAACCCGTTAACTTGACACATTTCCAGGCCTTAAATTTAGACTTTAAAGAGACCCTGCAGATACAGATGTCAACCTTGGTAAACTAAAAATAAAGCAGTGATTTTGCAAAATTGTAAAATCCCTTCTAGTAAGAGACAGCAATAATACTGCACCACCTCATATAGTTTGGAGAGAGCGCACTTTACTATCAAGTGAGTGCTGGTCGATGTTTACCTGATGAGGTGGAGGTTCTGCAGCACACGGGCCATCTGTTGACATTTCTCCTGGAGGTGCTCAGGACTGAGCTGGGGCTTAGGGGCATGAGCGACCCGACAACACTCCTCCCTCAGGAGTTGCAGCGCGTGGTTCATCAGCTCCAACACACAAAGGAGGTTCAGCTGGCCTGCCTCATACACATTCCCTGAGCTCAACTGGAAGACAAGGACAATTAAAAACCAGTGCTTGGACTGAAAATGGTTTCTTCTGTAGCCACATCACCTGTCTCCAACTTTTTAATACAGCTTGTAAACATACACTGTAGCTGGATTATGATCAGATTATCAAATTTAGGCCCAATGGTGATGTGCTTTCATTCCAAATGTGAAGATTTGATTAAGTAAAAAAAAAACAAAAAACATTGTGCATCCAAAGAAATCATTAGTGTCTCACAGCCTGAGGTAACAGTGGAATGAGAAGTGTAAATGAAACTATAGACTCAAGAACCAAATAAGGAGAACCTTATCTTCCATTTACAGGAAACAGGTCCTGAGTGATATACTGAACTGACCCATTACTTCACCCTAACCTGATGTGGGAGCTGTTCAACTCTCTCCAGCAGACACCGGGGAATTTTGAGGACTCGATCCGTGCCGTCCAGGACGTACTGGTCTACATCCCCTTTCAAAACACTTTCCACTGCATGCTGGTCCTCTTTGGTAGTTGAGAGCATTCCATCAATGGTCGACCACAAGGAGCGCACCTTAAGACAACCAAATACTTATGTGAGCTCCTATAAATAAACACATCTCAGTACAGAACAACTGATTTCCAAGACTCATCTTGATTTTAGAATTCCACAAGCCTCCACCATACTTGTGGCAAACTGCCATTGTATAAACGGCATGATTTAGAAAGGCAGGAAGCTTGCTATCAGCACTGTTGTGTCTTATTAAAACATGGGAAGTAATTAAGTTTTACACACACAATATTACATACCTGTTTGGTCTTCTCTGCTGGAGAAGCTCCCTCCTGTGCAGAATCACTGCTGTGACGCCTGAAAGTAGATAGTCCTGTTTGTTCAATCTGTACAGGAACATTAAAGCCAGAAGTACTGAGGAAAAACAACCATACATACTTGAGTAGCTCGTCATACTTTGCACCCTCTGCTCTGATGTCCCTTACAGACTTCACCAGGAGCCTTCAATAAGGAGGAAAAACAAAAGCTTAAAATATAAAAACAACAAATACAAGCACTTCCGCAGCAAATTAATGCTTTCAAAGGAAACCTCAGAGAGGCATGTCATAGCAAGAGAAAAGTAACTGTCTTCCATTCAGGTAAGCTAGTCCCAGGGTCCTGCTATTGTATGTGCATGCTGGCTCACTGGCATGGCTTACTGGGACACTTGGTTATACAGAGCCACCATTAACACAATTTGTTTCACCTGTGCTTTGGCTGCTAAGGCAATCCGAGGTGTCTGAAAAAGGGGACACTGATTGCGAACGCCTCCAGCAACTAGCAGCTGGCCTCGTTATCTCTGGGTTTACCAATGAGTTCACAGGAAACAGGTGTGGCTTGAAACAAACAGCCAATAAAGCGTGCAGCATCAGGAACAGCGACATTAGGTTGAAACAAAGAAATAATACAATGACCACATATTAAAAGTAACTGGCCATAAAGCTAATACTTTTCTGAAATTAAATTAGCCTTATTAAATACAGCAGCCATTTTCAACATGTTAAGTCGTCTCAAGTGAGTATGAAGAACTGACCCCTCTTGGATCAATTAAGAGTTATTTTAAATGGCAACTGCTCTTATGTCTCTGGATGAACAAACTATTATACTAACTGTTATAATAATTATGTATAGGCAATGCACAACGTTATATCTAACATTAACAATGCTGCTACATTGTAATCTAGAAAATCACATTTTCATTCAATTTGAATTTCATATAATTGTTTTATTTACAACTGATAAAACTTGATTTTTTTAATTTTGTGGTATTTCTCTAAACGTTACAGCACATATTTCATTTTTATTAATGCCACACATGAACAAGTCAGAGAAATTTGATTTCAATGCCATAACCTGAGCTGCCAAGTGGTATGTCAATCATATCTACTGTAGTAGTGAAGTAGAAGGCTTCTATCTACAACCTGTTTCTACTGATGTAAACATCTAGCTCTGTCCAGCTGCCAAGATGGACTTACTGGGCTCGTCTCTGGTACTCGTGGAGAAAGCGATCTTGATCCACTGCAGCTTTCAAAAACCTGCTATTGATGAGGCTGAGTCTCATCACTGCCATGTCCAGGGAGGAAGCAGGCATTGCTGCAGCTTCAGGAACCCAGCTGTCATCTGAAAATAACAATATTCAAGATTATTTGTCTTTTGCATGCCAACTCTATGACAAATTAAACAGTATGAAGTGAAACAATGCCTGACCATTTTTGTGTCACTCTGCACTTTTTGAACTGAAGTCCGATTGTGAACGCAAGCTACTGGTAATGAAGGAAAAAGTCGACCTACCTGTGGTGAATGTCTTAATTTCCTGTAGCATGACGTGATTGGCCAAATTAAGCATCAAGTTGATAAACTTGGGGCCTCCAGGTGAAAGGAACAAGGATGCTACCACTTTGGATCCTGCATTCGCGGTTTCATCCTACACAATTAAAAACAGTTGATTAAAGTATGTAAAACACTAAAAAGGACAGAAAACTGCATTTGTAGATATGTAGATGAAAAAGATATTTTCTTTATAGTTTAGACACAGATGCAGAGAGAGTGGGATGCCGTAAAGTTAAGAGACTTGAAAATAAAGCTAGAAGAAATTAGGCAACATAGGAAGAAAAGATGGACACTATCTCCCTATTTGGGAGGGCATACCTGGGGTGAATAATCTGTGAAAAACACTTTTTTTAGACTGATAAAGAGGATGAACATAATGGCATTATCTTACCATTATTTCTCTCAGCCAAGCGCAGGTAACTTTGCGGAACTCAGCATCTGCTTTGTGGTTCAGAACAGGCCAGCAGTATCTAACCAAACAAATATATAACATCATTTTTACACAATGAATCCTGGGAACGAATAGCTACTGATATACACAGTGGGTCATTTTACCTGTATGCCTCATTAAATCGTGTCGGGTTGAGTTTCTCCAACAGGAAATGGGTCACTATGTAGAAGGCATCTTTGTTTGGTTTGTCGAACATATTCCTATTGACCATAAACACATAAAGAATACAGTGAATGACAACCTAAATGTAACTTCAAGTTAAATTAGCTGACGCTGACATGTTGTAATCAACACTACAAGGGACAAAAACTTGGACATGGCTTATTCAGTTAGCTGACGTTAATGTATGTTATCGTTATCCATGATAAAAGCAGACTCACGGTCCCAGGTTGATGTGTTTAATGTTAATGTTGGTTTTGCCGGCGACTGACAGAATTGCGGCGTCTGGTTGAAATCCAAGCCCGAGGAGAGCAAACCACAGATATTTCCCATTCTTTCTCTGCAACAATGCCGGATTCGCCATTATTCCGAGTTGTTCAGAAAGCACTGTGTCCGGTGGCGACTGGCTTTATATTAAGAAGCTAGCCGGCTAACTTTAGCTGCTAGCACCAAAGTTTACAGTTGGCTAACTTAGCTTTCGCACTTGTTTTCTGTTTGTCAACACGCATTTAACACGCTGTTATTAAACTTAACAAGCACTACTGATGAGGAACAGTTACCAGGGATATACGGTATCCAGTTACGTTACGTTTGAGTTCATGTTTGTCAAACTAAATTTCCCTAATTTTAGTCAGGAACACGAAAACGCAACAGCAACAACGCCTACCGCCAATTTTTTTTCAATGACCACCCGGAAGTTGTTAACAAGTAGTTCCGGTGAGCGAGTGTGTCCACGGTGCATTTTACAACTGCTTTTATTGTCACTAGCTGTATTTGTTGTCGCATTTACACCAAATGTAACTACTGTGGTTTTATGCGAGGACATCGTGACACTCATTTAAACTAATGTTGGACAAGGCGAGCTGGCTTTACAGTATCCCATAAAGAAAGTTAATATAACTAGTTCATTATTGGGAGACGACTGTTACCGAGCTCAGAAAAATTATTGCATTGTATTTATTGTACATAGAATAAGTAGTCCACAGGTTATACAGTAGTAGTCAATTAATTTAAGACTTCATGTCTAAGTCTCCACAGTTGTGTTTTCCCAGTTACATTTGCAGTACACTTGTTCTGTAATAAAATACTATACTGAGGTATTTTTTCCCCAAGTGTAGCGTGGCAGGTGTAAATATTAAACATTTTTAAGGATAGACAGATTTAACTTGACACAGTGTATTAATATTTCAAACACATTTATAAGCCATTATTACATGCATTCACCCAACAAATTAGTCAAGGGGCTTTGGAAAGGCACTGCAGTAATAAAAACACAGGCTAAGCGTATGCAGAGATTTCATTTGTCCTTTTTTATTGCAGAACATACAATTATTTAAGTCTCCACCACAACTGATTAAGCAGAACGGAGTAATAGTAAGAAACAAGTACTCTTTTTTTCTAATCATTCACATCATTGTAGTTCTTTTAAAACCAGCTGGCAACACTCAGCCACCTTAGATGGATCAGACACTGATGAGTACTTGGAAATCTGAGAGTTGACCCCCAGGGAGCGAGCCAGGTCCTGGGCTGTCTGGTCTGAGGCCACAGTGGTTCCCAAGGCCACTAGCAGCCTAAACACAGCCTCCTTGTCTTGTACCGTCTCGAGAGCTCTACTGGCCACAGACAGGCACTGGGCCTTACCCTCAAGATCGGGCTGGCTGTGCAGGCAGCCAGCGTAGTTAAGCACCAAGGTGGCCAGGGCAATGTGGATGTTCTTATTGCAGACGGTGGCCAGGTCGGCAGCACGTGATAGCACCGTTTCACGCTGGGCCATGAGGAGGGCTCGGCCGTGCCTGCCACTAAAGCAGTTACACAGAGTCCGCAGCGCCAGCATCTGGTTGGCAGGTCGCCCCTCGGGCCTCATCAGGCTCAGCAGGTGGTTGCACAGCTGGACTCCCTCTGCCTCTCCACAGAGGCTCTCATTAACCAGTGGGTGGCGCACTGCCAGCCTCATAATGTCCAGGACAGGAAACACAATATCTAGAGTCCAGGGGGGAAGGAAAGGGAAGTTAGTGAACTGAAGATCCTTAAAATCATATTAATGTGTCCATTTTTCTCATAAATTGGGTTGGAAGTTGTACCTTCAGGCCAGTGAGAGGCCTTCCAGAGCAGGTTGACCTGTTGGATGGTTGGGGGAGGCTTGGGGGAGGTGGCCTCAGAGACAGACACCAGCAGCCTGTCAAGGCTTTCCAGAATTTCTTCAGAAAGCTTGTGCTCTTGAGGGGCCCCTCCATTCAGCTCCTTCAGCTTGGCTGGTGAGGAAAGAGCAAATCAGGAACCCAGACACAGGGTGGACACTTGAACCAGGGGCATTTTGGTACATCTTCATGACAAGAAATTATTTGGAAATCTTTACTTTTAAAGCCGCTGAAAATTTGGTAAGTATTTGTCTATAACATGAAATATTCATTACAAATAAGACACATCAAAGTAAGAAAAAAAAACTCTAGATATATTTTTTGGGGTTTTTGATGAATTATGAATCTTCACATAGTTGAAAGTGATAAACTGTTCCTGGCTTTATGTAGACTGTAAAGCCACATCATCAAATCCATACTTGAAATGCTCACCAATGATCTGCGGGACACTGGCTTGCTCAAAGGTCACACCATCCGTCTTGGGGAAGTAGATGTTGGTTGCCGTCTGTCTGAGGGCTGCTGAGGAGTAAGCACCTCCTCCTGCAGAGTACAGAGGGGTATAAACCAATGAGTGTAACATTAAAGGATTAAAAACAAAACACAAGTGCCTTGCACCATGTGTACGTGGGTCTACCACTGACCAGCTGTCACAAATGAATCGTAAGTAACTCACCTGTGAAGGGATCTGCCACACCTACAGGAGCACTAGGGTTTGGACCCGACCCTGGGATGTAGCGACCAGAGCCTTTAGGGAGAAAAAACGCTGTGAAAAGAACATCTCTGATGATGTTCAGATTGAGAAGAATCTTTAAGTAAACATGCTGTACCTGTGAAGGGATCAGCTCCAAAGCCTGGCCCATCAGAAGCCCCGGGGATGTACCGAGCTCCTCCTGTCAGATTGAAAGAAGAAACATGTTTTAAGAAAATATTAATTGTGTCTAATGGCCTTTAAATACTGTAAATGCACAGTATATAGGCACAAGAAAAGTGGAAAAACAAGCCCCAGTATTTATCTTTTGGCCTCACCAGTGAATGGGTCACCACCCGCAGGCTGGGCTGGGCCCACCTCATGTCCTTTGGTGTTCTGTATTATAAAATTGGCAACCTGGTCGAGGAACATGGGGCTGAGGTCATTCTTCTGCAAGAAGTTGTGCGCAGTCAACCAGGGGTCCTCGGCCACATTGTAAGGCAGTTTCATGGACGGCCCTCCCTCATTCACGTCAATGGTGAAGACATAGTCGTATTCCTGAGGGGAGATCAGGAGGCGTCAATGACTGTTCTCGTGTGTGTGTGCATAGCTTGTCCTGTCAGTAAGCTTATAGTCTTACCTTTCCTTCATACATCACGCTCTTGGAGGTCTGTTCGTTTGAGCCTCCGACCACATCTCCGATCTTCATCCAGCGGCCATCACTGACACTCCACTGATATGCCTCCACCTTCTGTCCATCTTTAATCAGCCGCGTTTGTCCGTCACGATTCCCTGTAGGAAATAAGCAAACACAACCATCTTGATGCAGAAATAGCATTGGTACTTCTTCAGTTGTTATCAGACTGAATTGTGCAATCTTGGATGTCTAAAAAACACCAGATACAATTATAGTTCATATGATAAATAAATAAATGTCAGTCTATTTTCTTACCAGGCTCATTAAGGTGTTCCCTTCCAGGAAGGTCCTCTATTTTGATGTCTCCAAGGTCGCCTGTCTTAGGGTCTATGGTGGTTTTGGAGAGTTCATCCTCAAAGGCCTGCAGGTCCTCTGCGCTCGCCATGCGGTCCTCAGCCTCCGTAAACACGCGGATAATGCCATCACTGTGGGCAGAGGGGCACCATTCGGGTTAGCCACAAAACTATGTATGTGTCTGTTCATCTCCATCATCTTGTGTGAATGCAGGAGGGATGTCAGAAACGGAAGCAGTGAACAGTAGTCTGTTATATGGTGTAACATTATCGAGGGACTGATTTACAAATTTACTGCACATTAGCATGCTAAATGCAGTTCTGTTACCTGGCACCAATGGCTATATCACCATTAGGTAGAATACAGCAGCACCAGACAGACTGGGCAGGCAGGCGGATGGTCTGAGTGCACTCTCCCTGCTTCCATATCCTCAAGGTCCTGTCCTCTCCTGTGCTTATGAAATCTAAGAAGAAAAGCATCAGACTGAGGGTCAGGGTGAGCCAGCTACCATCTTACAGCAGAGAAACAAATGGATGCTGGTTCAATAAATGGCCGAGCACCAGTCGTTGGTTACCCTCTTTTGCTTTCTCTTTCTCGTACACTCTTTCATAGGCATTTTAATATAAATGTAAATGAACAAACCTTGGTTATTAGGGAAGACAGCCACGCTGTAGATGTAGTTGGTGTGGCTGTAATAGACTTGTACACATTCGCCTGTTACCAGCCACCGTCTGATACTAGTGTCATTACTGCAAGAGAAGAACTCAGTGTTGCTGATGACTGCTAGACCCCTTACACAGTCCTCATGGCCTACAATGGAGAAAATAAAAGGTTTTGTCGTTATCGTGGACTTGGCCTAAACCAGTTAAATATTTAAAAGGTTTGAGAGTGAACTGCTTACAAAGACCAGATAACAACAACAAAAAGATGGTATTCCCTTATGTCAACCCCCTGCAAACTCTCACCTGTAAACGTCTTCTCACATCGACCAGCTTTCCAAAGCTTGATGGTCTTATCCGCTGATCCAGAGAGCATAAGACCTTGTTCAGGTAAGATGACCACTGCCCACACAGCTGCAGAGTGGCCCTGTAGCAAAGTTAACAAGCAGATATTTTGCTCTGTCACACTGCAGTCATATGTTTGATTGTTACAGTTGCCAACACCACAGTCAGTGTCAGAGAAGCAAACTAAAACTGTTTCTTAAGGAAACCCCTCCTAACGGGGCATATGAGTAATCTGTAGCCTTTCAGAAACTACATCATACCTCCAAAGTCATCATGCACTTCTCATTGAGCCAGACTTTGGCTGTGGTGTCCCAGGAGCCGCTCAAAAGTGTCCCAAACTTCCCAGAAGACAGAGTGCAAACTGTGGAGATTAAACACCAGAATCAGATAAACTGTTGAGATGCTTGCTATTATGGCAAATGACAGCAGAGCAAATGAGATGTCTATTAGAATGTAATAACCCTGGGCGTCTACAGTAAAGCACAACTCACCTGTATTTTTGTGACCCTTGAGAATGAATAGGGGCTGAGGTTGGTCCATTGTGAAAACACAAATGTTATTATCATTTCCACCTGTGGCAATAAGTCCTCGAGGATACGTTTCACTGGGTGCAATGATGCATACACAGGATACAAAATTTGAGTGGCCAGACATACAATGCATCTCTGTGAAGCCTTGGTCTGGGCTGTCAACAGGAGGGGAAAGAAAGCAAAGAAGACACATTAAGTGAACAAAGTTACTTGTGTGGGAACAAGTGGTTGACAATTGCAAGGTGGGTCGGTAAATGAAAGTAACAGACAGACTACATAGTGCCGCTCTGAAGCTGGTGGACCTTGTATATTGACACTGGCAGTGGAATGAATGACAAAGCTAATTTGAGTACACGTTAGCAATGCGCTCCCCAGCTAAATGAGCTAGCATCGTTAACACGGGTTTGTTACTAGTAACTGACTTCAGTGCGGGTTGTTAGTTGGCCTGCTACTTTTTTCGGTCAGGGCACGTTTCCCGACCAGAGTGTAACTTTAAAACTGAAATAAATCGTAGCCAGCCGTCACAATTAGTTAGTCAGTAGCAGGCTAATGCTAGCTACCTTGAGTTTGGTACCCAGACTCTTCCGGTTCGGTCTCTGGACACAGATACGAAAGCTCCCTCTGGAAAAACAGCAGATGCGAGTCCTCTAACGTCCATTTCGTGGCCCGGGATCGAGCACCTGAGTTTGTATGAGTTAGATGATGCCATTCTGCCCCGAAAAGACAATGAAACTAACACAGAAGGGGATATGCTAAGCGGCGTTGCTGTCAACAAACACCGGCCGCTAATGCTAGCGGAAGTTGAATTACGTCACGGACGTCGCCATTCAAGTGAATGTAATTTAATTTATTTACAATTAAATACAAGTAGTGGTAAGCTTAAAGCTCTACTATAGGGTAAGTGTAATATAATTTAAAAAATGACAAAAGTGAACGAAACAGGAGAGAGGGTAAAGGCAGCGGCAGCTCGCAGTAGCACTTCCGGCCTGGACATGTAGTAGCCATGTTTCACCGGTAGGCGGCAGCAGACGGGTTTCTGTGTTGCCGATGGTGCACTGCGCTCCAACCCCGAGTCCACCGCCCACCTGTCCTCTACAGCTGCATCAAGCTACCGTAAACACACAGGACACAACAGGAAACTGTGATGTTGTCATTCAAATAAAAGCCTCAACGTTGCCAACGTCAAAGTTAAAGTCCAGCGTTCATCAGCTCCCGTCAAAAGAAATGTTTTCAATAAATAATTTATTGTACATCCGTAGAAGTCTAGGAGCAAAAACCTCACGCGTACATGTGACCCTTAAAAAATATTGTTTGTTAACTAACGATTACATGAAGTGTCATGAACAGATATTTTGTTTGTTTTTTAATTAATCGATTATCATTCTTGCTCCTGGTTCATTTTCTGTTAAGTGACTAACCCTTTATAGTTTGTTTTGGGTTGTTTATTCAGTATAAAACAAATGAAAACACCTTTAGAAATACTTAATATTAAATTTGTGGGTTTTTTACATTACAATTAAAGTCCAACAGTGTTTTTATTTTTCAACAAAAGCGGACCGGAAGTGCGTGTTTTATCGCAGGTATCAAAGCAGTGCTCCTGTCCAGCCCACAGAGGCTCGGATGAGGAAGTAGCTACGTGCGCTGAATAGGACCAGCCAGATAAAAGTATGTATCTCTCCATTTTAGCGTAGGAAATCATGACTGACGCTTAACACGTTGAATTATTCAATCTGTATATGAACCCGAGTGAATGAAATCAGGACAAGTGTTAGCTAACACAGTAAGGCTACAGAGCCAAGCCCATCGCGGCTGCCAGTCTTATCAGTTGTACGAAGGATGGAGCAAGCGAGCTTTTGCAATAACAAGTCTCTGAGTACAGACTAGCAGGGCCATGAGGGCTGTTTATGATGGTCTAGGCTGTGCTAGATGGGGCTAATGTTAAGCGTCTGTGTTAAGGTGTAAGGTAGTTACTGGCTTGTTTACAGACACCTGCTTTATAGCACAGTAGTTAGGCCTGTATTGAGGTTTCATCTCATTACCCAGTCAATAAAACATGACCTCATATGCCCGCCTCAGTACAGATAATGGCGTTTTGGGTCTGTCATTTATATATAATGACTGTTACTGTCATATAACACCATAAAGGGAAAATGTCACAGTTTTGATATGGATCATTTACTTGAAACAGAACTGGGCTTGTGCAAAGAAAGGATATAGCAACCAGGGTGAAACGTGTATTTCAAGTGTAGTGTGTTAACCAGTTTCGGTCTGTAACCTGGATCAGCTGGAGATTTATCTGTGTGTGTGTGTGTGTGTGTGTGTGTGTGTGTGTGCTTTGTGCACTGTAGGGTCCCCCTGGAGTCCCAGCAGCCATGAAGCTTCGACTGCACTTTGTGGTGGACCCCATGGGCTGGCTGTGCATCAGCATGGTGTTTGGAATCTGGCTCTACAACACTTTCTTTATTCCTAAACTGGTTTTACTTCCACACTACAACGAGGGACACATCCCCTGGGCCATAGTTGTTTGTAAGTATTCTTCTTCTGTGTCCACTGTAATTTTTTTGTTGACACACACAAGTCATTGGGCTTTCTGGCTCGGCCCCCGGTGTATGGCTCTCACATTTTAGGTAGAATTAAACGTTTTGTATTCTTTCAGGTTATTACATAGCATCGGCACTCTGCGTAGCGGCCCTGTTCCGAGCTTCCACAGCAGATCCCGGCCGTCTTCCTGTGGACCCCCACATACCTCACGCAGGTATGGATACGGAAAGGCCCACCTCACCACTTCTTTTAAAGCTAAATTAGCTATTATTGTTATTGTGCATGTTTAACGGTTTATCCATAAATCTTTAGATGGTCAGTATAGGAGTTTCACTTCCCACACTTTTTTTCTTCCTCATTTTACATACTTGCACCACCTTTCCTGCAGTTAGGAAAATCATATATGAGGTCATGTGAAACTGACATCAGCTAAAATACTCATGTGAGTATGTATGTAGCCCAAAGAGCAAGTATGTAGTCTTGAGTATGTAATTACTGTGTCACAATGGTAGCTACCAATACTACCAGTGATAACCAATAATTAACTGCTGATTGTTGTTTTTATGTCACAGAGCGAGAGCACTGGGAGTTGTGCAATAAGTGCAACTTAATGAGACCTAAAAGGTCCCACCATTGCAGTCGTTGTGGCCATTGTGTACGCAGAATGGACCACCACTGTCCTTGGTAAGAACATACACACACACACACACACACACACACACTCATGAAGACCTGACCATACATATCAGACACATATAGCTTTAAAAACAGTGTGGAAAAATAGAAAATTAACACATTTACACAGCCAATGGTATGCTTGTATGAAATGGCAGTGGTACAGTATGTATAGCTTATCATGGAGTATTACTACAAAGTCAAGAGACATTGTTCAGAGCCGCACACACATTTGCCAGACACATGTTGACCTGCATTTTATTAATTAATCAATTTACTTATTATAAATGTATAAATATCTTTTAATTGGCATAATAGAAAGATATTTGCACACAACACAATCTGTCTGCAGCTTCAGTCCAAGACTGATATAAAGAAAAACAATTATAAGATAATATCTTAAATCCTGTTTGTTTGTTTTTTCCTTCCAGGATCAATAACTGTGTGGGAGAAGACAACCACTGGCTCTTCCTGCAGCTCTGTTTCTACACTCAGGTCCTCAGTTTGTTCACCCTGGTGCTGGACTTCTGCCAATACTACTACTTCCAGCCCCTGACAGGACTTGACCAGGTACATCCTAGAGGAATATAAGTAAATTATATACTCAGTCAACAGAAAACGTGTTTTTAGAGCTTACAGAATACATTTGATACATGCATGTGTTTGGACTACAAGTATTTACACTGTATTTATTTACCTATCTTAAAGCGTTACGTAACAATTCAGTGTTAAATGCTTTGTTACATCCTGTAAGACTGAGCTACGGCACTGGTAGAATATAAAAGCTACTTAATTATGTACAGTCATCACATAGAGATTTAAGATGATGAAATAAGAGGATTTTACACCAAAGGGTTACCGTTCTGTTTTGCTCTACCAGGAGAAGTTTACAACACGCCATGAACTAGCACTGCTGCGGGTCTCAGCGCTCATGGGTTTGGTCATGTTTGGTGGCATGACTAGCTTGTTTTACACTCAGATGGCGGGCATCCTCTCTGTGAGTACTGACTGGAAGACTTATCTTGTTTCAAATGACATTTACTGCGGCAATTATGTTAATTGCCTTCTCTCAACAGAATGCAGCAAATATTTCCAAGCTACTTTCACTGTTTAGGGTCTTTTAAATAAGCATGGTGGTACTTATTTCCAGTATCGTTTAGCTTGTCCCATTTTGTATTTTCACAAACGATCTAGCAAGCATCGCATGAGGCTATAGGCAGAATGACATGACACATTGCACAAAAATAAAACAATCAATGCCAGTAATGCAGTGATCAATAGAAAAGAAACAAGAGAGAAAGTCCTGGGTCAGGCTGTGTGCGTGAGTGTGTATGCATGAGTTGCATTCTTAATATCTTTGGTGACATAACGGAATCATTTTTATTACAAACCAAAGTCATTTACAAGCTTTCATCAAGAACTTTGGCAGAGCTGTTATGTTAGAAACGTCTAAACTTAGAGGTGGGAAACAGCAAGATGGTATTTAGAGAAAGGTTTTCTATGGCTGGAGCTGTCTACGGGAGCAATAGATGACTCACAATAATGAGAAACAGATTTATGATGCTTGTGTTTTTGGCTGATCATTTGACTCTGTAATCAAGGGCATCATGATCCACTCATTGTATGCTTTGTCTTTCTCTTTTCTCACCCTCGTAGGATACTACAACTATTGAGAAAATGGCTACTTTCTCAAATGAAATGTGAGTCTGTTTAACTCTGTTCGTCCTAATGCCAGAAATAGTTTGCTGTTGCAGGAAAGAAATTGGTGGACATTGTGGGAAATGCACTTATTGCCTTCCCGCTGCAAGTTGCAACTACTCTCACAGCTGTGCATTCACTGTAAAGCTGGAGCCACGTAGCTTAGCTCAGCTTAAGGAGTGGAAATAGGGGGAAATAGTCAGCCTGGCTGTATCCAAAAGGTAATAAAATACTGCTACCACCTCTCACTAAAAACATGTTATATCTTGTTTGTTTAATCCATACAAAAAATCACACAAAAAAAGCACAAAAATGAGTATTTGTGGTTTTCTAGCGTTGTGTGCTGGACTGTTTATTAGCTGGGCACAGTGTTTTGTTATCACTGTGAGGTTGTCGGGCAACCAACGGAGACTCCAAAACAGAATATGATGTGTTAATTAGTGAGCTTAAGAGGTGCTTGTAGGTGGATTCTGTTACTTCTGGACAAAGCACGGCTAGCTGTTTCCCTGTTTGCACTCTTTATGCTAAGCTAAGCTAAGCTAATCGGCTGCTAACTCTAGCTACATCTTGGGCTTCATGTTTCCCAAAATGTTGAACCATTTCTTTAAAATGGTCTCATAATACAATTGTGTTTTTTTTCTTCTTCTCAGATTTGGCTCTAAGAGATCCTGGCAGTGGGCGTTAGCTGAAGTTTGTGGCACTCGCTGGAAACTCCTGTGGTTCATCCCGCTCCGAAGCAGGCAGCCACTCCAAGCCAGCCACCACTTCCGCACCCACGTGTAGGCCGGGAGCGCTACAGTACCTCCTACCTGCACAGATGGTAGGGTTGCCATGATGAAACACTGTATACACTCGTAAGAATCCATCTGCTCGCCTTCAACATCCTCTTTTGTGCTATTGGAGCTGGGCAGGAGTCTTGGTTTGTCAGTGGATACTCTAAGCTGTTTTTTTTTTTGGGTTTTTTTGCGCCTTTCTCCACAAGACCCAGACTGGCAGTAAACAGGGTCAGGAAACACCTAAGGGAGTAACAGGAAAATGTGGCTTTTTTACTCACTGTGACTGCTACTTTCGGCATTTGGAAACCACTTTAAATGGCTAATTGCATCAGAAGGATGTAAGGCTTCGCTTGAAAGCAGCTGGCGAAAGGGACCCCTCTCAGGTTACTTTAATAAAGAGCCTTCACTACTGACCTTTAATCAACTACAGACAGAACTAGGGTAACTCCAATGTGTCTATTAGAAAGGCAATTTTTTGTATAAAGTTTGTGCCTTGTTTCTTTTAACTGTGTCCTTTTTTATTTGTCATGCATGAGCAGTGTTTTTGTTTTATGTTTTCTGGTTGGTGATCTATGGAAATTTCTTGTGAAAAGTGAAGGGATGTGGGGTCAACTTCACTCATGTAAGTGGTGATCATTTAATGATTCATGAATGTTTTATTGCATTGTTTTATCTATGAAGTGATATTTTATGAAGCATGGTCACAGAACAGAGGTCATAACTTGACTACTGATATGGTATATTTTTATGGCGAAAAGCCAGCCGGGTATGAAGATGTGTTATAGCTGGCAGACAGTTAATACTCCACCACACCATATTAAAAGAAGCAAGTTTATACTATCAATCTTAGGCTGTATATCTTGTATTCAAACCTGATGTATAATCAAGTGGTTTCTCTGAGTATAAAAAACATTCCACAGCCAATTCATATCATGACCTGATCACAACCTGTTGTGAAGTCCGTATTGAAGGGGTTCGAGTGTCACATGTCATCCAAAATCACCCCGTATATCTTAAAAGAATAGCTTGTCATTTTGTGAGATACACTTTTTCGCTTTAGTCAGATGAGAAGATCGATACCAATCTCATGTCTGTACACTAAATATGAAGCTACAGCTAGCAAGTGCTTAGCTTAGCATAAAGACATAAACAACCTGTAAAACCACAGCTTTTCTTTTTTACTTTTTTGTATGGATTAAACAAACAAGATGTCACATGTTAATTATAGAGCTGTTAATAAGCCCGTTGGCTGTAGCTTTATCTTGACATGAAAAAATGTGGTACTTATTGTCTTGTCTAATTTTCGGAAAGAAGATGAATAAGTGTATTTACCAAAATATCAAACTATTCTTTTCATTAATCCGTTTAGCTTAAGTCCCGGCTGTCAACCATCACACTTGCATCGGCACAGGTGACTTTTGAACACGTCTTTCAATTCAGCACTTCTCCTGATAATATGATTTGTAATTTATACTTATAATTTTTAGTGCTGCAGCTGTTATAGTTAGGTCTTCAATGTGTCTGAACAAGTGGCTTTATAAATGCGTATCTTTACATAAAAACTAGAATTAGTCTACCTGTTGTGACATACAGCTAGTTGACACAACATTGACTGTTTATTTATGGTGGTTTTGCTGTAACACTATGTTACTGTTAGAGATTTTATTGAATTCTTTAGCAGGATACTTAAAGATAAGATGATTCAGTGCATTATAATACTAGCATAACGTGGTTGCCATTGTCTATAATACTTGGCAATCCCATAGCTAAACCTGTATGTAAACCAAGCTTGCCATGTGTGGGAAATATTACAATATTCAAGTAGTTTAAGTGCCTTTCTAGGTCTTCTTTTTACTTTCACACTACATCATCGTCATCACGGTGGTCTCCATAAAAGCCAAAGACCTGGGGAAATGTTGCAATAGTCAGCAAGCATTCAGTAAATGCATGTTTCACCAAATTTCTGAAGGTAGCGGTTTAATATTATGCACTGATTTTCACATTAGCACTCAGTCTGTTAACTGCATCAAAGGTACTCTATTTTATTTGTATCCTTTGTTTTATTCATATGTTTAATCCGGTGGTTCGCATTTGCATGAGTGTGTGTACATAACTTTGCTCAGTGGTTTTTATAACTCAGATTCAGGTTCTTGAATGTTTGTGTGAACAAGTATTATATTATCTTTGTGTTGGTAGGATAATAGGTGGGCAAATGTGTGTGACTGGTATTAAAGAACGGGGAACTACTGATAGATTACATTCACCAGTTTTTTTTTACAAATCATTTTTGAAAGCAATAAGCATTGTGTATCCGTAAAGCCATTCTTATCGTAACAACAGTAGTGAAAATTTGAATTGTTTTGTGAAGCATGTAAACTGGGTGGATGAGTTTCCCTCGTTTCTCACTAACCAGTGATTATCCGACTTAAACATCTGTCAATACTTCAGTAACCTCAGCGAGGATTAATGCTACTGTAGCTGCTGTGTATAGTTTTACAGAATATCTCCAATAAACGACCGATCAGTTTCAACACCTCAGGTCAGGAACAGAGTATCAGGCTTGAGTTCATTCGATTTAAATCGAGAGCTGCCAGAGACTAGAGGTGTGATCTTTTCAGAGAAGCTGTACTCACTCACGTCCCCTCACAGCCATTGTGGTGTCCCCCAGGGTTCTTAGTTGGGGTCTGTGCAGTTTTGTTCATTTTGTTGATTTGCATTTGGAAGTCTTTGGAATGTGTTTTATTTTGTTTAATTCAGACCTCAAACACTGGAATTGGTTACATTTTGTGAATTAAATGAATACACCATAAATATGTTATCCATTTCTTTATGCCTAGAAAGCCTATGAGAAATTGTCAATTGACCTTGTTAGAAAACTGTATTAATTGTGTTTATAGATAATATCATATAGGTATTCATATTCTAATAAATTAGAGTCTGGATATGTTTGAGCTGATTCTTTTCTCCTTTTTAGCAACCAACATTTTGCCTGCAGCTGAAGCTTTTATTTTTTATTTTTTTATCGAAATAAGGAGGGAAATTAGTATCGCACAGTATGTCAGTTTTTTCAGAAACAGAATTTATGAAATGGATATCTTGGCTATGTGACTAGCTTGGAAGGAGCAGTAGACCTTTTAGCTTGCTTAGCCACCATACCTATCTCTGGAACACCAAAAATGACTCGATGTAGTCGGTCAATGTGTTGCTAGCTGACTGAACTAATAAAACACTGGTGTCGAAACACACTAGACCTTTTGAAACACACAGCAGCAGCTAGCTACCTAGCTGAAACTATAAAACTACACCCGCCAGTGCAGAAAGCATGTAGCGTTAATACTGCACTGGATACTGCTGTAGCATCACTGTATGGTCTCTTGTAACAGCAGCTGAAGCATATTAGCCAAATAGCTAACACTAACAAAGTTACAGTCGCTAACTAAGCTAACCCCACTTAGAAGTTTACAGATATAGATTCTTTCTTCATATCATTCATCGTCAAGTGCGTGTCTATTTTCCTAATTAAGGAAATAAGTCTACTTTTGTCAGTTCTCATCCAAAAGCTGTCCAAATGAGCAAAGATGCTCTTTTATGTCTTGGGAGCTACATATGACAACTCTGGGTGAGAAGGACATTAGCTACTTATGAAGAGCAATGTCTAAATAGAAGTAGGAGCGTATTCAAAGACTGCAGACAAATTGTTTCTCTTTGACTTTTAAGTGATGTAATCAGCCGTAAAATGCCGTAATGTGATGACACGGAGGCCCACAAGATTGAATTTAGTGAATACCTACAGGACAGTATACAGTGGCATTTGAATAGCCATTTTGCAGTTGTCTCCAACCAAATGGTCATTGTCCTGAACAGTTCTTAAGTCCCAGTGAGGCGTGTGTAATGTGTGCATGAGCCGTGAACATAAGCTATATGGTTACATGTTTTAAACATACACCAAACACACACCCAGACACACACACATACACATTGTATTGCCCTCAGCAACCCCAGCCAACCTGGTCTTGACCAACCAAATCCTTTATTTGTCCACAGTCTCAACAGGGTCATCCTAGACTGAAGTGGAAGATGAGGATCAGAATAGCTTTTAAATGTCACAATTTTCTCAGTATTAGTTTGATTGATTGATAATTTGTAGACTAAGGCATATTAATAAAGCTATAAATCCATACAGTTACATTTACAGGGTTCTTATATGTTTTCATGTCACATGCCGCCAAAATAAGTACACTTAATAGAAAAAGTAAAATACATTTAACTATGCTTTTATTAGAATAATAATTTACACTATTGGTGAAATAAAAAATATTGAAAAAAAATTCAGAGACACTGTCAATTCCCTAAAGGACACCTTATGATACAACACTTTGAGCACCCCTAAAATACACCGTCTGGGTTGAATATCACAAATCATACCCGTCCTCAATTACCTAATGTTCTGCCATCTCTCTTACTATGGCTGATGATGCTTGATCTTGATGGAGGTACTCTATTTGAAGATAGTGAATTAGTACAGATACATTAAAAAAACATACATTAATATGGTCTTGGAATAAATTCTACTTGTGTTGTTTTTTTTAACTGATATACAAACCAGTTTTGTAATAAAATATATGAAAACAGACACACCCGTATGTTTTAATGGGCCTGAAGTAAAATTTAATTTAATTTAATTTGTTTTCAGTTCATGCTTTGGGATAGTAACATTTAAGGAGCCTGCAGCAGCCTGGGTTCAATGTGCTCTTAATCTCTGGCAATGGTTGGTCAACTGGACTAATTAAATAAGTGGCCACCTGCTACTTTTACAGTCTATGACATCTGGCTGAACAAAAGAAATAATTAGCCACATGCTTGATAAACATAAACTATGCTTGGAACAGTTATGTCTCAGAAACAAGGCTGTTTACCTGTCTAGGATTGGAGTTAGTGGCTTGGCGTGTTCTGCTGCCATTTTGCCAAGCCTAGACAAGGATTAAGTCTAGGAGATGGAAGATAAATTTATTATCGGATCACTAGTTATGGGTAGCAAGATCATTTTTTGATTTTTATCCATATGGGCCATATATCCTATATGACTCCATAATTAGGGCCAACCCTAACACCAGTTATGTTTTGCGTAGCTGATTTTTTGATGTAGTGTTTCAACAGAGATCCCACATATCTGACAAGCATAGTTGGTGTTGGTGTTTGTTATCATTTAGGAAACGTCCAGTTGTCTGTACCCATAAAATGGCACATAAAACAATCCAATCAGCATTTTAAATACAAGTAAAATTTCTCACTGATTCTCTGATTGATAGTAAGAAATCAATTTAGTCTTTTCTTTCACTATCAATGAAAGCATAATTAGATTTTTTAGACTTCAGCGAGTCATGTGGGTGGGTTGCCAGTGGCAGGTGTCTGCAACGTTCCTCCATTTTCAGTTCCACGGCTGAACTTCCTGAACATGGAGGTATTGATTGGCCTATTGATTTTCAAATAAGCTCTCATTGTAGAAAGTAGAAATCCAATTAAAAGTTGAACTTGAAACAGTTAATCCACTCAAGACGATGAAATGTATCGATTTTACCCTTAAAATCAATAAGGTGCATGCGGCTCTCTCACGCGGCCTCGGCCCTGGACATTTTCCTTTCTGTAGAAGAATGAAGGGGTGCAGTTTAGGGCTGCTGAATAATGTGTCAGAAATGTTGTTTTATTATCTGTTAAACAATATTTCGATTGAAACTATGTTAACCCTTGTGCGTTTTCTTGACTTTACTTCCTCGTTGTTTGGACCCTGCTGCTGTATGCTCTGTGTGTAGTAATACTAATAGTAACTACCAAACCAACCATTGTTTTCTTCAAACATACTTTTTTTCTCCTGACCTTATTAAAATCCAATGTGTATACAAATGCTAAAACTTATAAAACTCCAACAAGAGAGATTCAAATAGACTTATTTGGGATTTTTAAGAGATAATGTTGTGTAAAAGTACTGTCAATACCAATCACAGATATCCATACATTATATTTAACCATGTTTTATTCTTTAATCTCCTAAAAAAAAGTAAAGCATTATTTTCTGTAGCAGACCTTGAAACATCAGTTCCCAATGAATTTTGAGAAAGCCACCATCAAGGTGATAAAACAATGTTAGGTATGTTTTCAGAGCTGTTAAAGAGGACCCAGGGTCATAAGCTACTTTTTGAAATGCTAATAATGTGTTCATTAAGGAATAAAATGTAACATATAAACTGTCCGGAAAAATGATGAAAATAATAATAATATAGACTTACTAAGTTTCCTTTCGATAATATAAGCCAAGGTGCAGAATGAGACCTTACATTTGTAGTCTTTCATCCTTGAAAGTCATTTTCATTTGATTTTCTAAGCTGACATTTGCCTTCCACGATGACTGCTGAGTGTCTTTTTGTTCTTTGTGTTTAAGAGCCAATTAAATTGGCCAGCTACTAATTATGCTCATAATTAGTGCTTCATTAAAGTCAGGTGCATTGAAAAGGTCAGCTGTGAACAGGTACTTATTAAAAGCAGCCTTACAGATAGAGCATGTTGTCTATATTGCAGGTGACTAATTAGAGTGGTTAAGTCCTACTTCATTTCCACCATATTTCTATTTTTAGGCTATTTACAATTCATTTTAAATTGTATTTTGTGAGATTAAACCCGAAGTGCTTAAATATATGTTTGATAACTTATGACTTGGGTGTATATGTGCCGGAAACTACAATATATTCTACAATACAGTCATTTCCAAGCATTAGCCCTGTTATTTCATCTATTTGTCGTAACTAATGCTAAGTTACTGTTGCTAAGTCCACCCACCATCCCCGTGGGGAAATCCAGCTGCCACCGAGCGGCCTCAGCGAGGAGGATTGGAATGTGGCAGGAGAGAAAAGGTCTTTTCAACTGGCATTCAGATAACATTTACATGGACACGCCAAGCGTCTTAATTCGTGGATCAAAATACAGTTGTGTTCCAATAAAGCCTCTGACACTGCGGGGAAACTGAATGCAACAGGTCACTCCATGACTACTTGATCTTCATGACTGCGTTATAGGTATGGGACCTGTCAAGATCTTGGTATTTTGACACCTCTTATTATTTTAAATGATCTTTAGCTCACTGCCACACCGTGATATCAAGCCCAGCAATTTCCCAGCACTGGCAGGTTCTTCCTCACACAAAAACAACGTTGATGAGGTTAAAACTGACAGTCCAAATGTCAGCACTGACTCACAGTCGGCTTACTTCTGACTCTGGCTGGGTTATATTACAAAAGGATGATGCCCCTGCTCTCAACCACACCCAAATTAAAATGTTTGGTGTCGGAAAATTCAATTTTCAGATGATTACATTACATTTTTCAACAGAAAACTCTACTTCTTTTATATTTAGTTTCTTCCTTTAAAGTCCATCAAATCTATTTAAATGACCATATTATTTTGCAGCTTTTGCATCATACCCGTTTCCAATAATTCGTCAAGATGTCATTTGTGACTTCCAGCACATTGTAATAGAGGGGAGGGTGAAGGGGGAGGAGGTCGATGTAGGAGGGGGGGGTTGCAGGGTCATGGTTCTTGTAATTACCACAGTCAGGTTCAAGTCACTGGTCAAGTTGTTGCTTGATTTTTTTTTTCTTCTCTTCTCCCATAATGCAACGTTGTCAAGGACTGGCCTAAATGTGGCACAGCATGCCTCCACTGCTGCCCCTTTGATTAGGTGTCTCGTCTTCCACCGGGCTGCGTCCGATGAGAGCCGGCAGCACAGTGATGGCTGGGAAACTGACAGAGAGGTCCATTAAATGGCAGCTTTGTTATGACATGTCAGCCAGGACGTGGTGGATGGTAAGTGGAGCTCTTTTGTCTTGACTTCTTTGTCTTAAATAACCTAAATTAAGAACATCACTATGAAGCAAAATCACATTTAAGAAGA